AGTCTGTGGTGTTCAACTTCAGAATAATCCCACCTGTGATGTACGGCATAACATCTGTGGGGCAGGAGCAAAGATCCAAAGTGGCCCACAGTACACAAAAGTAACTATCATTGTCAGTTACACTGTTGAGGACATAGTAGACTGGTTGGTGTAGAAGCACCAGAGTAAAAATAGCAAGACAAGGTGTATTAGAATAGCAGATTTTGATGATACCAAGGTTAGTGGGTGATCAAAATCCTAGTGCCCATCTACCTGCAGCTTCTTCAGACACCAGGTTGGGAGATACAGGACAACAAGTAAATCAGGATACATAATGTGTATCACAGAACAGCAAGACAGATCACTGTCAGCTCCTAGCTGGGACAAAAAGGAACATGCAAACCTAGCACACTTCTGCTAGTCTACAAAAAGCCCAGAAGACATGAGGGGGGCTCAACAGCTGGCATCCTCTGTATCATTTCAAGAAACTCTGGAAAGATTGACTGAATACCTGCATCTTGGAGCTTGCATGCTGGATGAACATACTCATGCTTCTGAGAACATGTGTACAGGAGTGCAAGTGGCATCAGTTTTGATTTAGTTTTGTTTTAAAGTAAAAGACTCTCCTTTCCTAGCAGGTCTCACAATGTTGTAGTATTAGTTCCTACAAAGTGAGCAGGGGTGACACGCCATCTGACAAATGCTTCACATAGTGAGGAGGAGGCAGGTTAGAACCTGAAATTTTTCTGTGTTAACTAGGAACGTCCTTGGCATAACAGGCACATCCCAATTGAGCTGTACACAAACCCACAGCAGCTTCTCTGCACATGCAACAGTCAGTTTGATGAACAGACAGGGAAACATAAATAGGATGAAGAGAAAAAAATGAGAGAAAGCTGGTGATTTATAGGAATACAGACTCTCAGATACAGGCCATCCAAGCAGGAGTCTCCAAATTAATCGAGTGCTGACTCTTCTAAAGAAGAGATTTTTTTTCACAAAAGCTGAGGTAAGCCAGACAAACCCCTGGAGCAGAGGACAAAGGCTGGTGGGAAATAAGAGAGTCAGAAAAGGTGACAGCAGAGAAGATAGGGGAAGAGAAAAACCCTCTGGAGAGCTTCTTCCCTATCACCTGGAATGACTGAGGTCTCCTCAAGAGACAGAGCACTCTACTTTGCAGGAAGGAGGCTGCAAGAGATTGTAAGTGGAAGTAAGTAATGCCAAGTGACTGCCTTATGAATCTCATGTTGAGATGAGAGCAGTGGGAGATCACTTCACCATCAGCATAGAACAGAAAGACACTGTCTCTTGAATTAATAACCTGAATCAACTCTTCCGCTTCCGGCAGCCACAGGAAAATATAAAATCCAGATACAGCCTGCATTTTCTAGATGTTATTATTTCAGATGAAATTCAAAATCAAAGCAGGCAGGACAGAACATACACAGAACTACACAAATACTGCATTTGTGACTTACCTTCCCCCACATTAAATGCATTTTAAAAAGGCACAGAGCAGATACTCAGCATACACCATGAAATAAGACATGAGAGCTAGACATAGAGTTCCTTCCCAGATAGGAACAAGGCTCAAAAAAGAAACAATTGCTTGCCCATGCCTTCCATGGGAAACTCACTCAGTCTTTGTGTCTCATTGGAAAAGGTTTCACAGGACAGCAAAAGTCATGTCTCATTGAGCTGTTCATCAGAGCCATAATCCAACTCTGTTTCTATTCCAGTTATCCCTACCCCAGCTGACTTCCTACCTCCAGGTGCTGCCCCAGCACATTAGACCTAACAACTGCACAACTAAAAGGTCATAGGAGGGTTTAGGTCGCAAGAGGCCTCTGGAGGCTTTAGTCCAAGCCCCAGCCAAAGTTATGTCCATTAGATACAGCTGCTCAGGGCCACGTCCAGTGGAGATTTGAATGTCTCCAAGGACAGAAATCCCACAGCCTCACTGGGCCCCTCTTCGAGTGTTCAACCACCTTTTTGCTTAGCTCAGTCTGGAATTTCTGATATTGCAAATTTTATCTTATCCACCCCTGTTCAGCTCAAAGAGTCTGGGCCTGTCCTCTACAGCTTCAATTAGGTAGCTAAAGACAGCAAGACCTTCACCATTTCTTCTACAGAATGGGAAGATGAAGCTACCTCTACCTTACCTTGTAGGTTATGTGCTCCAGCCCCCTGACATTTCTCCACTGTCCGCTTATAGCTCTTCACATTATCACAGGCCTTCTCCAACGTATTGGGTTTAACAATCTTGCAAGGTTATCCTGTTGGCAAAACCACTCTTATTGCCTTTTACCAGGTGAATCCCATTCCTCTCAGCTGTTCTTGTTCCTCAAAGAGGGCCCTGTGGTACCACCCACATTGTCAGGTGTTCCTTCTTCCTGCATCAGCAGGATTAAGAACACCAGCTGGGCCCTCATCCCCTCCATCCTCACCTCCCAGAGCCCTCCTGTCACTCTGAATGTGCTCAAGTCTGCCTCTGGCAGTATCCCCTCATTTGTCTTCTGGACATATTAACATGGGCCCTCTCATAGAGATATATGTGCATCTTTTCAGCTTCCTGTTATTTCTCAAGCACTCTACACTTGTGTCTACAGCATTGATCTTCAAGCACTGTTTCATAGGTGGGGAATAGATAAAACTTGTATGCAGCTAATGTACATCAACTGAACCTCCAAGCCATCAACCAGATCCCTAGATCCCTTTCTGCGGGGTTCCACTCCAGCTTCTTCTCCCCAAGTCTATACATACATCCAGGACTATGCTGTCCCAGGAGCAGAAACTAGTGTTTGTCCTCGTTACATTTCATACGGTTGTTGATTTCCCAGCACTCAGATCTACTGAGCTCTCTCTCTGAGGCCTCTCTAATCTCAAGGGACGAAACGTCTCCTCGTAATTTAGTGTCATCAGCAAACTTTCTTAGCATGTGCTCAACTCCTGTGTCCAGATCATTGATAAAAATATTTAAGAGAACTGGTCTTAAAATTGAGCTCTGAGGAACACCACTAGTGACTGGCCACCAGGCTGATGTTACCCCATTGACTACAGCTCGTTGAGCCCAACTCTTCAGTGAGTTGTTCACCCAAGGAAGCCAAGGACAGAGCCACACCACAGTCTTCAGCTGCAGTCACTACTACAGCACTGCCCGTGTGTGTAGATGTCAGCAGTGAGTATCCTCAAGAGTCAAAACAGGGCAATACACCTCTAGCAGATATGTTGTGTATTATTCTTTCAAGTTTGGGCTGAAACATTTATGAATGAGAACTCATTAGTTAGTTACGGCTCTCTGCTGCCTCACTTTATAAGTCAGTTTTACATAATTTAAGTCTTTCAGACTCAAACCATTTCATCATTCTCTTGTCATAGAAATGTCTGTTTGTGGGAAAATGAGGCAAAATCCCTTCTTAATCCTGCTGTGTCACAGAAAAACATTGCTATTTCTCACTCAAATTCTTTTTGGAAGAGTGTGCCAGTTGCCCTGATACCAAATTGACTAATAGGAGTGAGATAAACAGCCATTTGCTGTTGATAGATGCAATATTACACATAAAGTCACTGTGAGAAATTAAAAGGTTTATTTATTACAATCTCTATAATATTGTTTAAAAACTCAAAAGGTCAGATATGTATCATCAACTAATAGCACATATTAACTGATTGCACTTACAAAAAGACAAGTTCCCAGCCAAAATGTAAGCTGGGATCATCCTGGTCACTAAGAGGACACTCAGATATTTGATAAAAGTGAGACTGCATATCTGGTTTGATATGCTTAACTATAGGCATTATGACATATATGTTCTTACAGTGAGGAGAGAATGTATTAATAAAGTGAAGCTTGTAGCAGTCTCTATGGTTACAGCTAACATTTTCTAATATAAGCCATTGTCTTCTGATGTTTAACTTCCCATGTTTCAACTGCTTAGGCTGAAATTTTCCATCACTGCTGATTGTTTCCAGGTGAATTCTCTAGCAATCAGGTTAGCAAATGTACTGAAGAATTCGAGCAGATTCTCATGCTGAAACAGCAATTGGAAATCTGGCAGGGACTCAATATTATCATCTATTACCATCCTCTCAAATTTACCCCATGGCTTGGTGACTTTAAAAGACTCAGCAGATCCTGCTAGAGGGTTTGTGCTGAAATTTCCAAATATAACATCTACAGTGGTCGAATCAGTCTCAGCCGGCCACTACCGGATGCTGCCAGAACCACTTACCCACGCACGATCCCACAGTCCTGCAGAACATGTGGGTCAAACAGGGCACATCCACTCTGCCCTTCACCTGAGGGATTCTACCTAGGGGCTGAGAAAACCAAAGGCAGCCCAAATTCTGTATCTGCAGCTCTTCAACCGAGTATGTTATAACTGTCTCCACCCCACAGGTATTCTGGCAGTTTTTGTATATACTCCGAGTGGTGGAGACCTATGCAGTGGATCCAAACACCCCAAGTCAGAGCAGTCATTCTGTAGGACACCAGTTTCTGTGAGAGTTTCTAATAACAGGCCCCAACACTATGTAGTGATAAGCGTTTTAAAACCTGGACTGAAAATAATTTATTTGGACAGTCTTGTGAAAAAGAACTATCCAAGCCCATTCATCTCCCACCAGCCCATATACCGTAAGGTAATAGGTGCCGTCACCACATGTATGCTTAGATTCTGCTCATGTAAACCATGACATAGGGGTGGAAAATGGATTCTGTGTCCTGTGGTTTGGGTCATAGGAGCCAAGAGGTTCTAGATATACCCAGAGGTCCTTCAGCCAAGCTGGGGTCTTACGCAACAACTTGTTCTTTCCCCGGTATCTTTACCACTCTGCTGTTCTCCACATCTTCATTCACCACTTCTATTTTTCAGAATTTGGGTGATGGTTTGCTAAATTTAAATTTTCTGAACACATAATTACTCCTAGATATTCCTGATTTCCTAATGAATTTTTACCAACTTTACCTCTTGGAAGTATTTACCGAATAAGTGACCGGTTGCTGCTCTTGTGCATTGCAGGTGTCCTGTGGTTATCAGTAGTATCCGAGGTGTTATACATCATGCTGTTAGTCGTCGGATTCAGCCTTATGTGCCTCGAGCTCTTTCATTCAAGCAGTGTGATAGATGGGCTCAAGTTAAATGCCTTTGCTGCTGTCTTCACTGTGCTTTCAGGTATGAACCTTCCCTTTTGCTTTTGCCAGAGGAGCCATGACAAAATAAAATTCCAAAACTTTAAATGAATAAAAACTGGGGGCAACAAGACTTTTTTATCCCCATTTAGCTATCATATTTTTCACTAAAGTTTTTCATTCCTTTGGAACAAGGTGTGCATGATAAATTTGCTTCTTGCCAGGAGAAGTGAAAATACGTATTCCCGATTTCACAATGGCAATGCAGTAATTATCCTCCCCCGAGCCCACACAGCCATAACCTCAGCCTCCATTTTCAGCATCTTCACACTGATTATCCAATAGAAAATGAAAAACATATAGTGTTGAAAATTCTTTTGTCTGTGTTAATCCTAGAAGTAGGTGCAGTCTTGGTGCCTCAAACCAAAGAAGCCCATCTTGTTCATTAGCAAAATTAAGAATGAAAAGGGTTCTAGTAATTTCACTTAGGAGTCAGCCCAAGAGTAATCTGGGGACACGTGCATCTCAGAACAACTGTTTCAGGCTGTTGTCATTCGTAGTCTGTACTTGGAGCCCTTCAGCGGATGAATTTGAGGAATTCACATCTCTAAAATAAGTTATCAAATCTAACCATGTAATTAAGGCCCCTTCACTTCTGTGCTGGCTGAAAACCCCACTCCCCAGGATTTATACAGGCAGCCAGCCACAGCTGGCTATTGTGAGCACTCCTGCATGGGCCTCTGGCAGAAAGAACTTCTGCAATAAAAGTGCATTTTTTTTCTGCTACATTTCAAGCTGAAGGATATTATAATGTGCAGTGTACATTTTTGTGAAGGAGTTTCTATCTTCAGGGATAACTTCAAATTGTGAAATATAGCTAGTGGTATAAAACTTAGATCAGAATCAGAGCTGAAAGGACAAAAACAAAAAAAAAACTGATAAAAACTGCCAAAGCATATTTTTCAGCTTTGGATGTAATTTGAGTTTTAAAAAAACAGTCAGTTCAGTTTTCAGAATCAAATTATGTGGAATTCTTCACCATTCAAACAATGATTTCCATGCTGTTTCTCTTCCTCTTCACCATTAACTGCAGTTTTAAGTTTTGTAAGAATTATGAAGTTTTCTTTCCTACCCATCTGTCTATTTTTATTTTTCCTTCCCTCTTTATAAGTACATTGCCATGACGTTCCAAATATAAACTTTAAAATTTTGCAGAGAAAAGGGATAACAAAATAGGAAGAAGCAAAAAAACCCAAACCACCCCACAAAAAAAACCCCAACCCAAAACACTGCTAGCTGGTTTTTTCCAGTGACAGAGATGTCAGAGGAAAGAAGAAAAGCATATTTATTTAATCTTAGCATATTTATAATAACACAGCTTTATAGAAATCAGGTAACAAAGAGGGCTTTGCCTTGGAACAACACATCTCTCATTAAATTCGTGCTAGAGTTCCCTCCTAAAAGTGCAATGGGATCTTCATATTCTCACAGCTCACCATTTAAAGGTTAGGAAACATTATCCTAACAGTGTGGCCACTTACTGCTCTTACTTAACCTCTTATGAGTCATTGAAAAAACCCCACAACACTAACATTTTGGTATTCTTCCTAACTTCATACAAATTAAACAACTTATATATGTCTCTCATGTAATATTTATAATAAAGCATTTTAATTAATGTAATATATTCCATAAATAATATTTTTAGTAAAGGTATCTAAAAATGCTTTAAAACATATTGCCGTTTTCAAACTTAGTTCCTTAAGCTCTCCTAGAAAGAGCTGTGGTCCTGCAAGGCTGATGATCTCCAGCCAGCTCTAAATGGTCAGTGTCTCTGCACTCCCGTCCACCCCAGTCACTCCAGTCCACCCTATTAGCAGGATTTTCCACCTCCCCAAGCACCTGTTGCCCTGGAGCCCGGGCGGGTGGGCATACAGGCATTTTGTCCTCTTTGTCCAGCCTTAAGCTGCTAGTTGGAGGAAAAGATGATCTTATAAATGAAGCATTTGTTGATTGATGTTACAGGCAAGTCATTTTATCAAACATGTGACCAGGAAACGTACAACATAAAATAGCACACGATATCCCCATGGAGCACTTGGCAAAGCATATCTAAAATAGACCAAACCGATGGGTGGCATTGGGAACAAACCAAACCAAAAGCTCCTGAAGCAGCACAATGAAAGAAAGCCTCGTGCTGTTCTGCTATAGCTCACACATGGCATAATGCCACTGACCGCCCAGCCAGGTACCTGTCTGCCCCCAACCCCCGCTGCCGTTAGGCACAAACAGCAATATGTGCCACGTTTTGACTGTGATCCTTGTACTGCAGCAGGACCTGCTGATGACCTCCTACTCACCTGTATCAGTGCTCTGTCATCCTGGCCTCCCACACAGTGAAAGGTCTCAACATTGCTGTAACCCCATTAAGGTTTTGCACGACAGAACAGAGCACAACACCCTTACCAAAGCTAGTCCTGGCCGTGTCAAGCTTCCTGATGGCTCTGAGTGACTATGACATGTCTTGGGGCAGTCTGTAATATTTTATTAAGGTTGAAATATTACTGACAGTAGGTATAGGAACAGCAAACCCCAGACTTTAAGATCAGTGCCACAACTGTCAGCTGGAGAAAAATCCACTGATTTAAGAACTACAGCAAGCTCCTAGTGAGTTCTGGAAATTAAATATAGCCAGAAACAAGGAAGGTGTGTACCAGTTTGCTGTGCTCCCATTAGGCCGCCCACCCTGCCAAAATATAATTTCTTCCGATGTGAATTGCTCTTTCCACCTCCTAACTTCCCAGTGTGTCACACCAACACGAAGCAGCTGAGCAAATCACCACAGCTTCTTGCAATAAAACTTCTTCTTTCAGCCTCTGCAGTTGTTTGTATCAGATATGACATTTGTCTTACTGAAGGTCCTGCTTAACATACCCACAACATAAACATGCCATTCTCAACTTCTCTCCTCCAGAATTGCCCTGAATCATCCACATGTCTGGTGGGACTAATAAAGTGCTTTAAATACTGAAAGGAAGCAGGAAAGAAGAGTCAAAATTTGGGTCTAGGGAGGGAAAATCAGGATTTTCCATATGGAGGAAGGGCAACTGTGGAAAAAGTATATGGTCAGAGATAACAGGAAACGGCGGCTTTGGTTAAGGAGCAAAGTGTAGAATATGGGCCTTGTTGACCCCACTGTGGCAGAACATCTTTATTTCAAAGTGTCTTGAACTGTCATTGCAGCACAAGGGGCTTTTGACATCTGTAGGTCCAAGGACTGTTTGGGAAATGACGATCCTGCCCCATGGTCAGCTAGCTGCCTGAACCCATGCTTTTCATGGGCTCAGCTGGGAGCATTGCTCTGCCCTGCCTGGGTGTTAAAGCAGAGACATCCCAAATTATTGTAACTAGAAAATTCTCTAAGCCCCAGAGCTGCTACTGGCCACCACTTCTTGAAAAGTGAGGTTTGATTTCCCTCAGAGGGATGTCTAGATGTAAAAGTTCAGGCAGTTTTTTTCTGCTTAAGCTGAAGAGCCACTCTGGACAGCTGAGTGGCAGAGCACACTCAGTGACTTAACTGCATCCCTGTTCTTTAGCATCACGGTGAGCAGAGTGCCTAACACACTGTCTAACCTTCACCCAGTGTAGTTATCTCAGCAAAATATAATGAGCTCACAAAAGCAAGCATCATCAACATTTTGCTATCAAAAGTATTCCTGTGGCATCCACTCACCACACATCATCAGGAATACTGAGTTAACTTCCTTGTGTAACCTCCAAGGGTTTTATAAGTGTTCTAATTTATAAATCTTAGCAACTGTTCAGATAAAATATCGTTGCTTGGCATTAACACATTCAGTCTTGCATTGCCTACAGAAACCTCTCTCCTTATTCTCTTACCTGAGGCCTGTCTGTGATGGGAAGTGAGATAGCTTGTGGGTGGCATACCCCTGTTTTGCAGCAGCAGGGTTGGTGGTGACTCTAATTGTGCAACGTTTTCTTCAATGATGTTCTTTCTTTAACTCTTCTCTTAATTGTGAATTCAGTATGATGTAAAATAATGAGCTCTCAGTCACACCTTTCCTCTGCCCATGCAGCTCCCTCCTCCACAGTAGAATAGAAGGTATAAAAGTATAACAAAGACTTTTTTGGAGCTTTCAAACCACTTCCAGCAGCAGCTATCTCAAGAATTATAGAAAATGTTAGCACAAAAATTCCTATTATAATCCCTGCTTCTCAGGTCTCTTGGGGATGGTGGCACACATGATGTATACTCAAGTTTTCCAAGTGACAGTCAGCCTTGGGCCAGAGGACTGGCGACCACATTCATGGGACTATGGATGGTCCTTCTGGTAAGTGTCACCATCAGTTAATATTTTTTCATTTTTGAGTTGTTCCATCAGTCTGTTGGGAGATTGTACATATCATCTCAAATTTCCAGGAGTACACGTGTGAATTTCCAGCTGCCAAAATGCTATAAGCAAAAAAAACCCACCACGGCCATACAATTGTTGAGGTGTTAGAGGAGAGTTATCTGTGACTGCAGCAGCTGTGCACATCAGCAGGTACATCACATTTGTAAATAAACAGCAGCCACAATTGCCAACACAGACTGAGCACTCTCATTAAAGCTCAATTTAGGTGCATAATTGCTGTGGCCTTTCAGAGACTTTTAGCTTTTTTCTTTTTTTTCTTTTAATTAATGTCTCAGTTGAACCTTACAGAGTGACTTTTAACACAACTGCAGAGGAAGGCATAGGGCTCCTGGCATCATGATACTTCCCGGTAGATCATGGGGAGAAGGCTTGGGAAAACAGATATGACATTTTGGAGATTGAATTTTTTTGCCTTTCCTTTTTATCTGCTAAAAATAATATAAAAATAATTTGACCAAATTACGTCAACTATGTTATATTGCTTGCAAGTTTATAAGAAGCTTAATGAGAACAGGAGACTGGAGACTAGAAATACCTGCAAACAGCATTCACATCCCTCTAGAGGCATCAGCCTCTTTGGATAGTGAGGGGAAATACTTTCTTTTTTTCCTTTCTAAATATAGGGTATTGTTTTCATTCCATCTCAAAGCAGAGACAACAGCCTTTGCTAACACCAATAAATAAATACAAATACTTCTGATGCACAGCACTGCAGGGAATTAGTAGTCTTTCCTTCTCCCCTCACTATAATGTGTTTCATGGGAGGAGTTACTAATATTTAGGAATGTTAAAAAAAATATAAATTATATTGTATTTAAAATAGATTATTTTGTGTATTAATAATGAATATCTATTGCATGAACTTATAAATACACTATGCTCATATATTTATAATATTTATATAAATATTTTTTACAATTCTGTCATAATAATTGTATAATTATTAATATATTTAATAAGGTATAATCTCTATTAATTTGTCTTCAGTAATCTATTTTAGAATTTACTGTGGTACTCAAATTTCAGAATGTTGATAAATGTCTAGCATGGTAAAGCACTCATTAGATTATGCTCTTTCATCTTGTGCAAGACAAAGAAACCCCACGTCTCAGAACAGGCACCGGAAGCTCTTGGGTCCCGTTGGGCATTGCACCCATTGCCTGCAGGTCTCCCCAGGCAGCCAGAGCCAGGGCACAGTGGGCTTTGCTTTGAAGACCAGGACTGGCCCTGGGTTAGGTCTCTCTGTGGAGGATGCTGGAGACACCCACAAGCAGGCAAATATGTGGGAGCAACCTCAGCTCTTCCCATATTCCTGACGTGGGACCTCAGCTTCACTCTGTCCAGTGAGTGGTGTTGGTTCACCCTCATGAAAGCCGAGCTCCACTCAAGCTATTGCCGTTCACAAAGCAGCTTCTCAGATCTGGCAGTCTCTCTCCCTCCCCTAATACCTGCCAAGGCAACACACTTGCCTGTGCAGGACACTGGGCAAGGCACAAACATCAGCTCAGTCACAGCTCCCCTGGGACAGACGTGAGTCAGAGCAACATTTTCAGCCTGCAGTAGTGCTCAGCAGCCTGAGGAAGGCCATGGGGTTCTTCATGCCACACCCTGGTATCAGACCTGGCAAGGGAAGGTCTGAAAGTCAAAAGCAGCCAAAACAAGGCTTCTTCCTTCCAGCTGACACTGAACCACCACTGCTGTGTGGACTAGAGCCATGAGCTCCCCTGGCATCATCCAGACTTGAACACCTTCTTTAAGAAGGGTTAAAAACAAATGCCCACCCAGCCTGGTGGACTTTGGAAACTCTGCACATGTAGGAATTTTTCTGCTCCATCTGGGTTCGGGTGGTGGCCTGAAGGATGAGGTTTAAATACTCCTGAACCACTAGTGCAAAGAGTAGCATTATTTACAGCCTCCTGTAAAAAGTACCACTGCAGCATCCTACTAGACAAGCTGCCAGGGCACAGAGAATTGTACCACCACTGAAAAACAGGGCCAGGGAGCAGCCTCCCCATGGCCAAGAGCCAGAGGGCAGGAGTGGAGATCTAGACTGCCATTCATTTCCCAGGTGCCAATGGGAAAACTATTTTTTCTGTGACTCCCATTTCCCCTCTATCAAAAGGGAATGATTAAAAAAAAACCCCAACAACTCTTCTTAAAATGAGGAAGAGCTGCTTGTGATCTGCTCTGATGTCCCAGGGTTGGAAAGGCACTGCTTGGTCCCTGTTACCTTTCCCCATTCCCAAGCCATTGGCAAAGCCTGGAGGTTGGTCTGTGCTCTGGCATGAGCCAGGAGTGGGCCAGGGGATTGTCCAGGCCAGGGGTTTCAGTGGCTTTCAGGATCAGTGGATGTTCAAGCTCAACCCCTCTAGAAAGAAAAATAAAAAAACCTGAGCTGTTTGAGCCACAGAGGAAGCTGAGAGCACAGCCCTGAGCTTAGCTACCAGAGGCACTATAGGTACAGTCCCACCACATCTGGGGCACAGCTGGCATGGAGAGGCATTGCTGTTAAAGAGGTCTTCACGTCAGGTAGGATGTAACTCTTACAGGTAGGAGAACCAGTCTTTACACTTAAAAATAAATAACATTTAACCAAGGTCCATAAAAACGAAAACATCAATCATAATTGTCTCATTATTATGATTTACCAAATGCCAGACCTGAGGTCACATTGAGAGCCTTCGTTCTGTATTTCCTTCTCTGAACCTTTCAGCATTTCTGAGTAAATGATTATAAATTATCCAAAGACTTACAAGAGAAATTTTCCTCTGTATGTCATTCCCCAGGCACCAATCAGGCACAGCGAAGCATGCTGTTTCAGCCAGCTTCTTCCTTCAGATTGTTTAGGAGCACAGCTGGAAATGTTTGGAGCTGTTGGAGTTTTTCCACACACTCCATGTAGGATGAAGACACTTGCCAGTCTTTCCTGTGCCTGGACATTCACACGTAGCATGAGTTTCCTTTCCACTTCTCCACCCAACTGTGGAGAGAAACCTAAGGGATCTTCATCACCCCAGGGTTCAGTACACTTCCTTCTCCTTTGATTGCATCTGGCAAACGGGTTAAAAAATGACTAGGAAAGGGCTGTCTCCACACACTTCATTGCCCTGGGAGTCCCTAAAGGACTTGTCATGCACTGAATTTTGAAACCATTGAAATGAGCCATTTCTGTTTACTTGAACCATTTTTTCCCCAGATTTTTCAGTTCATGAATATATGTTATTTTTTGAGTTCTGTCTAATTTGAAATGAGAAACTGTTTCCTTGTCTGCAGATCCTTTGCAGAATGGGAAAACAGTTCATGCTGAGGGCTCTGTTGATAATGCCTGCTTATAAGATAATGCTCCTGTGGCTGTATTCTCTCTGTGCCGCATAATTCATAGCAATGTTTGGTTATAGAAAAGGTGAAAGCAAGGAGCAGGTAAAGCGTGTAGCTGACACAGATGATTAAGTTAATCCAAGTTAGTTAGGAAGCCACTGTGAACTCTAGGTAGCTGGAATATACAGGCTGAATGCAAAGTCAAGGGAAGCCTGAACACAGATGAGCTCTGCAGACAAAAGGAGGAATTTGGTGCCTTTTTAGTAGCCCCATTTCACACTCAAAAAGCATCTAAACTCCTTGGGGCCTTGAGTACCCCCCAGCCACATCTGAACTTGAGATCAGTGAGGTAAAGGCTGGAGGAGAGATGTGCAGGGAGGGCAGAAGGCACCTGGGGGGAAACCCAGCCCAAAAGCAGGGAGCAGAGCAGCTCCCAGCTGAACTCTCCTTGCCAGGTGACTCAGGACAACATTTGCTGCTGTTCCAGCCTGGCACTGGGGCAGTCATTTTCTTTTTCTTCCACTTTTTTCCTCCTTCTGTATCCCCATGGTCCTGGTTGATGCTTGCAGCTGTCCTGCCACTGGCTGACCAAGATTGGCCATCACAGCCTGCCACCCTGGGGCACTGCCCTCTGGTTGGATCACTCCACAAAATGGAAGTGCTGTCTTCTATTCTGGTCAGGCTTTCAGAGACCAGGTATAAGCCAGGAATGCTAGAAATGTCCATGAAGCGGGAAAGGAGGGAATACAGTAGTCTGATGAAGACGTAAAATTGGAATACAAACCATCCCTGGAGTAGAGTTGTGCATCCCATAGATGCTGGAGAACTTCCACTGGTCCCAAAGGCACGCTGTCTGGGGCGGCACTCCATCTAGAAGCTCATTACTATGCTATAGATTTTAGCACTTGTCTGCAAGGCTCTGAAACATTCCAAAGGGAAACCAAGAGGCATTCAGCTCTCCTGTCAGAGTGCAGCAAGCGTTCATGTTTGCACTCTGCCACATGGTTCTCCATGGGATGAAAGTTGTGCCCAGCCCTAGCCCAGCATCCTGCCTGCATGCCTGAGCACGTGCCACAGGCCGTTTGAGGTAAGAGGAGAAGGGGTTTGTCACCACTGACTTCCCTGCCTAGTCGCACCCTGTGTATGTGTGTCTCTTGGCGTCAGAAATATAACATGAGCTGCTGTCTTAACCCAGCTCTGTCTGCTGGTTTCTCTCTCCACAGTCTGGCATGGGGCTCTTTCACCTGCTGCATGGCGGCCTCCGTCACTACCTTGAACTCTTACACTAAGACTGTCATTGAGTTCAGACACAAGCGCAAAATCTTTGAGCAGGGCTTTCGAGAAGAGCAGAACTTCCTAGACCAGGAAACCATCAAGTACTTCAGAGAAAGGTCAGTGCAGTCAGTTGCTTGATCAGTGGAGGTTTTCATGGACTCTGCTAGTCTCAGAAAATCTGTGCGCTCACCCATTTCAGCACATGTGGGCAAAGTCTCTGAGATACTTGGAGAAGATGTGTGTTAAATACAAACACAAAAAGCCTCCTTGATTTGTTTTTTCTTAAATTTTGTGATGTCCCACTGCCTGCCTTTTCTTATGTACTCATTAAAACACAAGACTGACGAGTCCTCACAGTATGCATCTGATTTATAGGAAGCTGTGCTGCCGCTGCAATTCGATTTTCCCTCTCTGGAAAGGTAAAATTGTGGGGATATAACAAATGTTACAGCTGTCCTTTCTCGGCATGTACAATAGGCACCTCACAATAATCCTGACAGCTGCTGAGATGTTTTCCAGCCACCACCAGGGCACTTTGGAGTTGCCACCTTCCATAGTCGCATGCCTACAACCCATTCTAGGCTCCTCCACTCAACCCATCCTCCTGAGCTCCTCCACACAAATATAGCGCATACATCATATTGCACCACAGAAACATTCACACAGTGCCACCCACACTGCTACCAGGGTCATAGATGGACTCTAAGTCCTGTCTGAGCCCTGAAGGCCCACAGATGCTCCTTCACTCTGCCCATCACCTGCCACGCTGCTGACTCCATGCACTCTTAACCCACGTGGCTGCACTGGGTACCTGCTGCCCTCATTCCTTCATCAGAAGGCTAAGGCTTTGCTTAAAATTGCAGAATATGAAGAACACACAACTATTGAACTCATACAGCAAAGAAGGTGCGATGGACTCCATAGGGGTACCTTCAAAGAATGAGGAGCTGATATGTACAGAGAATCCTCACTGAAAGCCTGTTATTGGAAGTCACGTAAAGATATTTTGGGGACAGAAAATGTGAAAAGGATTCATTCTAGTTCTTCTGACCAATGTGGCAGTTTCTCAGTGGTGGAAGAGAGTGGTTGGGAAGCTCTGAGGAGACAGATTTGAAATGCTCAGACATTTCAGTGGCAAAGTGAGGAGCTCTCCTGAGCAGGAAGAACTAGAGAACTTCCATGCTTACCACTTTGCTTTCATGATCAACCTTAATTAATAGTCTCTGTACAATGCAGCATCAAGGATTTTTCAGGTCTCTTGGAAGGAAGGTTTGAACTTACCTATGGAACTAGCAGGGTTTTTATGTAACACACAAACACCCATGGCAAGTGACAGGTCCCATCATGGCCAGTACAAACCAATGTGGTTTTTAACTCTTCTATGTATCATTCAAAATGAGCTCCTTACTAGGCAATGTGCATAGAGAACAGCCTGTTCCTTGTGCCCGCTCTGTGGACTGGTCAGAGCCACCCCGCCCAGCATACACAGACAATGCTTTGTCTCTACCACTTGCTTTATGACTGGACTGTATATTTTGTTCTGTCCTTCCAGCTTCCTTGCCCAGTTTGAATTTATGTGAACAATTCACTTGTTGGTCACATCCTCCAAGCCTCACCACACATTTGACAAACACAGCTCAAGCATGTGGTGTTCCTAAACTTCATGATTATGACTTTCTTTTTTTATATCATATTATTTTAATTGTTGTATCTGAATACATAATAAGAATCCCAGAGACAGTGTTACCATGGGATCATTCCAGAGATTTAGAGCTGTGCAGCATTACATCCTTTTTTTTTTTTTTTTTTTGAAGTTAGCATATTCGTGATCAGCTTCACTGCTGCGACCTGGGAATATTCTGAGACTGCAGGGGTTCCAGGGATCATCAATTAGCAGCACAGCGTTGCTACATGTGGTGGGTGCCAGCAGCCCCAGCAAGCACACCACTTCCCTTAGGTCTGATCTTCCTTTGCACAAATAGAAAATAACTTAAATTCTCTTTCCTTCCTGTGCATATACCCAAGGATACTTCACATTCCCTCCTACTCCTACACCTCCGTGTTCCTTTTCATATCTCATAAATAAAACCCCCCAGCCTTTCTTCCTTCCAGTGACTTTGTACATATCCCTACCCTCTCTGCATGTCCCTTTGCCTCCGTACACATCCAGCACCCGCTGTACACACACATCTAGCGTCCCCATGCTATAGATTTTGTGCAATAGGCAGCTTTCTAAGAGCACTAGATTTCTAGTGAAAGTTAAAGCTTTATCGTTATTCCCAACAGCTGGGAGACAGGAAGAAAAGGGTTAGCCATATTTTGCCCGATAAAAGTTTTTTTGTTGGAATACAGACCCCTGCTCCCAGAGAAGAAATTTGTTTTGTGAAAAATACTGACACTAAAATACTGTTAATCTTGCAAGTATTTGTCAAACATAATATCACTGTATTTTAATAGCATGTAACTGCACACAACAACAGAAGACTTACTAGAGACTTATTAGATGAACGAGCTGAAATGCTCCCTTGAGAGCTCCCAGTTTAACAAGTGTGCACTGTGTTCCCAGCCAGTGAAGGAGATGCAGGGGATGAGCCACAGCAATGCCTGGCTTGTTATCCTGACCCCCTCCTTCTCCATCACCTCACTCCATCTCATCCCCTCCCCTTGCATGTCAGCTCACACAGTCTGCATTACTGCTGCTTGTGAACGTCAGTCTCCATATCCCAAGAACTGCCTCAGCTGCGGAGAACGTAGGAAAGACCTTTAAAATCACATGAACATCTGTGTACACCCCAAATGCTGCTCCTTAGCCTGGTTTGACTCCACCTTAAACAGCACATCTAGTTATCCAGCCCTAAGCCCACCCATAAGCACAACCAAGTTCCAAACCAAGTCTCACACAGAGACAGCCAAATTCCCCGACTACCTGCAACTGCAAAGACATAGGCTTTGTCTGTCAACACCCAAGCATCTTCCTGTTTTCAGCTGCTGAAGAAAATCAAAGATTCATGATGTTACATTCAACAAGTATTTCCTTCCCAGGCCTGGGATACTTTGAAAAGTCACAAAAAATCAGATTTTGTAGTTCACACCATAAAATCAAAAGATACTATAGTTCTTCAGCTATAAAAGATACGACAGCCCTCCGAGTAACTCTGAGTAAATGATACAGACTTGAAGGTGTTATTCACACAAAGTGCTCTATAAAATTTTCAGTAGAATTAGCTGCAACATGTCAGCTTTCAGTCTTTGTCCTATTATTGGTTGTCCTCCCTTTTTCTTTGGTTTTCCTTTTAACTGAATATTTGTCTATAACTTTTGCTCATCTTTTTCAATTTTTTAGTTTATTAGGTGTCAGTTCATAATAGATATCTCTCCATTTCTCTTTCTGCTCTGTTTCATATGAATACTCTTGCCCCATATGATCTTGAGCATGGTCCATTGTCTATAGTTCACCCCAGCAAGCAGAGGAGGAACCTTCCACAAAACTTTCAGCTTCCTTTGCTCTGAGGAGCCTTCCAGATACGTCAGAGGGACAGGGATTCTTTGTTCTCTCCTATATAGGCTGATAAGCTCTACATGACAGTCAGCTGAAGGAATGCCAGCATGCCAGGATCTTCTCCTCTTCCAGTGCCCAGCTATTTGGCTTCTGTAATGCCCTGCAGCACACGGGATCGCTGTCCCTTTGCCACTGCCTGATGCCACAGAGATGGAGCTGCTCCACAGCGGGGACATGCCATGACATCCCCCACTTTCCTCCCTACCCTGCACACGGTTAACTGTAAGACTATGAGAAAATAAGGCCCACAAGCAGGGGACTGGGGTAACCCTTCCAGTGCAGCACCAACTTCAGTGCACCCAGACTATCACATCTTTGGCTTTCTTAGTACAACATCTAATAAAGGAGCAACCACCGTTTGAGGGTTCTAAAAAGGCAGTGAGAGGAAGGGAAGATGGAAATCAGTAGCAGATGTAGCCGTTTTAGCAGTTTTGCTCGTATGGCCGTGTAATAATTAGGGCACATTCACAAGAATTGCTCTCATTTAGACCAACTGGCTACACCGACACTGTTGTCACATCCATTCAGGCCAGGGACAGTGCAGCTAGGTTATCCACGTGGAATATCTTCCCCAAGTTTGCCCCCTGTTTCTTACCTTCCTTTTTTATATATTAAGAAATCCTCTTCCAGCCACTCCTCACCACCTTTCCCTGCTCCCAGAACTCTGGTGGAGTTTGCTTTCAGCTAAAGAACAAAAACTTTCCTCTCTGCTTCTTTGGGATGCTGGGGGAAAGGCAGGAAGTGTTAGTGGGGCAGATGGAGACCCTGGGGCAATAGTCACAGCTGCTGGAACAAGGATGGTTGTAGCTATGGGGAGGAAGATCTGGGGCAAGGGAGCGTAGAGGCTTGGGGTGAGAGTAGGTGAGGATTGAAGCCGGGGGTCAGGGACAGGAAGCCTGAAAGTGTGGAAATCAAATCCAGGTGAGCTCCTCATGGAGAGGTAGTCAGTGCCTTGAGCAAGAAATAAAAAGTTAGTGAAGTGACATGAGAAAACTTGAATAACACATTGCCTTCCAGTTTTGGCAAGAGGAGAGAGTTGCAGCTTTTGGAAGTGCATCCATGCCTGGTCAGGGTGCGTGAGGCCAGGGGTGGTGAGTCCCATTGGAACTGAAGCCACTGTAGACAGAGGCAAGGAGGTAGACCCCCCTTGGTGCTGGTAGGAGAAGGGACCTTAGAGATCAACATAGCCCTGTCTCCAGCCTGATACCCAGCCTTTGGCTCCCTGTGAAGTAACTCTCACTTACCAGGTGCTGATAAACCAACATACAAATTTAGCAAGTAAATCTGGAAGATTCAGCCTTCCACAGTTCGCTCATCCATAGCACAGCATTTGCCAACTTGCAGCTGCCCATCAGCACCCATTGTGGCATTGCAGCTGATTTCACAACATTTTTCTTGCTGACTGAGCCCTTCCTCTGATCTGCAAAACCAACCTGACATCAGGCAGATGCTACTGGTGAAATTCTAGAGTGAACTGAGTTCAAACTGCCATTGATACCCGTGCAGACAAAATATCCTTGCAGGGACAGAAAATGTGGTTTTGAAGTGCAAGGAGCAGTCTGAAGCAGACGGCAGGACCAAAGCTATTGCAGAGATAATAAGTCAGGACTATTCCCAACACTGAGAGAATCAGAACTTGTCAAATCATCATTCACATATGCTATTTTTTCCTTTTTTGTGCATTTCTCTAATGTGTCTTACTCACAGCTTGCTTTCTCTAACTCCATTGTACTTGTATGAGATGTTGTGCAGATCATATCAATGCTTTCCAAAGACATGCCAACCTTTTGCTCTGATTTCCTCCTTGGTCACCTAGATATCTGGACAGGTTTTAAGCTGCTGACCTACCATATCCTCCATTTAGAGAGTTGGTTTCTTTTCATAGGGACATCAGTAAGAATTTCCAATCTGACCATTCACCTTTCATTAGCACACAGGGATGAGTGTAACCTTCTGCCTTGGATTTATTCTGTACTTTATTCTGCAACACAGGAAGGTTTATCCGCAGAGCTGTTCCTTCTGGAAAATTACACGGACTGGCCCTTACACGGTGTAGCACTAGCAACATACCCACTTCCACCACACACGTACTGTACAGCGCGGTTAGCCCCGGCGCTTAGATTCATCCTGAAGAGTGAAAGAGTGGGAGAGACGCAGCCCTGAGCCCCTCATTTCTATTCCCCATGGCCTCTTTACATGAGCTTTCCCCCGAGAGGGGCAAAGCCAATGGGACCGAATCCTTCCTGAGACCATTACGATCTCCATAATGGGCCTGGCTGGCTATAGATGGAGGAGCCCAGGTATGTTGTACTCTTGTTGACTTTGACCCTTCCATTTCTGTACATTTGGGAGCAGCCTTTGTTTCTGTTAAAGGTGCTACTTCTATATTCTCTTTTCCAGGACTGAGGAGGAGAGGGCTGAGGCTGGGGACCTGAGGTTACAGTGCCTCCATAGCTGCTCCCCAAATAGTAAGTGACCATGGCTTGAATATGTCAATGGCTTGTACCATCCCCACGCTGGCTCCTGGGGGTTAAGAAAAAGGTCTGGAGTAGGAAGCTATGGAAATAGAGGTTTGTAACTTTCCCAGACAGCGCTGCCCAAATGATCATCAACTAGCACAAGAACAATATAAAATTCTCCAGGATTCCATTTAGGATGTGCACATATCCTATAATTTGATGTTATCTCAAGAAGCTGTGACTTCATAGTAGTTTAAAAATATGCTCTAATTTACACCTGTATAACTTTCATTATCTCTACCTTTTTCATCTGTATTTATCACCAATCATGATGATGCATGCTATTGAATATAAAAATGATTGAAAGCAGCTTTAGCAGACAATAACATAGTATAATTAATGCCATTTCTTGCACTTACTCAGAAAAATGCTATGCTTTTTTTTTGGCATTTGCAAAAATTCTTACTTTAAGCTATGGGAATCAGTGGTTCAGTGTACGGAACAATATTGGAGCATGGCTCCTTCCCTGCTCTGAATACTATACTTTTCCTTTACTCTCCAGGAAAGATGTGTGCAGTTTCATGCATCTATTTCCTTCCAAAGAAAGAAAGTGATTCTTCATTCAGCAGTTTGGGAGACTTGGGAAAGTGACTTGCTGACTCTGCGCTATTAAAATCTGGAAACCTGATAGCATTTTGCTGCCTCTGTCTTGCTGAGATGCACAGCTCAGCCACACACTCATGGAAGCTTGGTGTCCCTAACCCTAATAACTGAGGGTCCTGATCCCTCATCAGACCTGCTGGAACAGCTCTCCAGTCCCACGTCACTGCAGGTGGTCTCCCCCAGGCATGTTATTACTAGAACTGCTCTCCAGCTTGGTTTGTCATCAGATCACTTGGTAGCTCCTGCTCCTTGAAAATATCATCTCAGTTATGGACCTTGCCACAGGCAGATCCACATCCTTCATTTTCACAGGCCTGAAAATCTCTCTTAGTACAAAATTGATCTGGGTCATATTTCCCAAGAAAGTTTCCTACCTGCCAAGCTACTGGGTAGTGCTCAAACGTGCTTATTGCATTAGGAAGACTGTCCAAAGGTCTTTGTTTCAAGGGACAAATAACAATTCTTGACATTAGGTGTTCCATGGAATAGAAACAAGGCTCTATTGGTCCTGTGCCCAGCCCTGCCCCAGTACTTCAATTTCCAGGAGACACCACTTTCCTCCATAGGTGTGCTGACAGCGCTGTAAAACAAACTGCAAATGAGAAGTCCAGTATCAGGTTAAAGAATGTTTACCTACTGTAATGAAATCAGATCAATATTAATAAAGTGACATGAGTGACGTTCTGTTCTCAGTTCATAGTTTACTTACGAACCCAACTTAAGCTTCAGAATCTTCATTATTCAGGCTTATCAGGGAGGAAAAAGCATTAGTTATTGCTGCTCAGGATGGCAGAAAACCTTACAACCTTCACATCAATGTCTCCTTCCTGGAACAAGCCCCATCAAGCCACAACAGGTCTGTACCTGATCAGAGGATTCTCCTTAACGTCGTTTCTAGCTTCATACAGTCCCACTCTTCTTTGTCACATAGTCCATGCAGTGGGCTCACGGCCAGCAGAGAATTGTTGATGGCAAGAGAATGACATCAGAAGTGCTTTGTCAAAGTCAGAGCAACCACAAAGGTTACTCTGGCCCTTGGGTTATCCAAGGGCCTGCTTGTATGAGAGCAGAGGGCACCTCACCTAGAACAAAGTCCTCCTCATTGCTTGATCAACTCACCACCTGCGTTCCACTAGCAGAGTAAATGTCGGCAGATCGTTTTGAGCTCTTTTTGAACTCTTCACACAGAGGTGGTCCTGTACCAGTAGGACACAAGGATGTATTACCAGAAGTTATTCCTCCTGCTCACTTCAACCAGTATTTCATTCCCTGGAGGACTTGTCAGCTGCCCTCACTTAGAAATGCTCTGAGGTTGTTCTAATTTGAACCGAAGAGTATAGAAGGAATATTTACTCATCCTCAGACATCATGATTTTTTCTGTCCTTCCACAAAGACAAAACAGGGCATCTGGTCCTTGTTGAGGTAAGGATTTTTGGCAAGTGCTGCCGTACAGCGAAACAGTAAAAACTTTAAACAAAAGAACAAGACTGAACAATCGTAAAAGACAAACACCAACTGGCCGGGAGATTTTAGAAGAGAGAATATTAAAGGTCTGCAAGCAGCCCAGGAGCACTGTGAGAGCACAGGTAGCACAAAGGGCCTTATGCCAAGCCAGGACCAGGGCAGGATCTCAGGTTCCTCTGTTGGCAAGAATAAGCTATCCGCTTTCAGAATGGCCTTAAATTATAAATTTCATTAGAAGCTTGATTCCAGAGGAGTCCTGATTGGGGTAATGCAATATTCAGTCTTGATAATTCTATATGAAACCATTTAATGTCCATCGCTAAACTATAATTTTCCTTTAATAGTGTTTAATCTTGCCTGAGCTGGGCTAGGAACAGCATCAGGGAGTTCTAGTTATAAATTGGCATCCTCTGCTCTCACCAAGCTGCCTTCCTGTGCAAGCAGATGGCACTGGCCCCTATACATCTAATATCCCCAGTCATGTTTTGTTCTTACTAAACTTAGCACTTCCATTGCAAAGCTCTAAACACTCTTAATAGTCTATTTGCTGTCATTTTTGACCTTGGAGGTCTCAACTTTTTCTTTCAGATGTGCAGGGCTGGGAGATCTCAATGCACCGGTTGTGCACAGTCGCTACACAAAACCAATAAAAGGAGAAGTTTCACATCAGGATTTTTTTGTTGTTGTTGCATAGTTATTTATTGCCAAGAAACGCTCAGTTATTAGGCTCCAGACAGCAATTGCACCTGATTTCAGACATCTGTATGTCCATGCCCCTTCCACCCTCTCCTCCAGTCTTCTCCTACCACTCGGCATTAATACAACGAGCCTGCTGCTTCCATCAGTGTGCCTGGGATCCGCAGGGTGGATGGGAGAGGTACTGGTGATACACATAGGACAAGGGGTAAGAGAGAGATGGGGAGAAATGTCACAAAGGACAAGGAGAGACAAGTATGGTGGCAAAGCCAAAGAGAAGACAGGTAGCTCAGAAGAGCCAAGAGCTGAGCAGGAAATGGCATATTCTTCCTGTCAGTGGCTAAAAGCCTTGGTTGTTCTTTGAGGCAGATAAACCCAGGGTCCAGGATATCAGCTTTTCACATAGAAAAATGAAAGACTATTCAAAATTAATTCAGCATTAACAAAAAAATAATATAGTCGCTGTTTTGGCAGTGTGGGCATTTTAGGAGGGTCACCTGACAAAAGAGAAGGCCTTGAAAAAAACTATTTTATTCTCATATCATTACCTGCAGGCATTTCCCCTGGGTCCATCCCACAGCTCTTCTACCATCCTCCTACCCCTGGCTGGCTACAGTAAGATTTATGCAACCAGCCCCTCAGTGCTTCCCTGTAAAGCATATTGTCATTATTTTTCCTATTCAAACAAGATCAACAGAAGAACTCCAGATTTAAAACATGGTGGAAATAATTCATAAAAAAAGAATCTCCACTGTTTTTTTCTCTTGGTCACAAGTGCCACAGAAGGAAAGTGGTGCTGGATTTGCAGGCAACTTTCAAATGTCTCCAAATTCAGTGCTACAAAAAGTCTATTGCACAAGCTCAGCTGGAGAGGGCAAGGCACAGACGGCAGACAAGGTCACTCTGACAACGGGGAACATGCTTGATATGCTGAGCAGCACAGGGCTGGAAGGAGGCAGACAACAAGGGCTTGACGCATTTGAAGTGTCGCTCAAAGTGGAGCCAAGGTTTCTCCTTGTGGAGGTACCTGACAGCTGCAATCACCTTCCTATTTCATGTCAGCATTGATTTCAGCTCCAGGTCTTGCAATTCTTCCTGTAATTTATTCAGTTCATAGTGATTCACTACACAAAAACAGGTAGAAAAAAGATCCCCTCTGATAAAGCACCATGGTTACAGATCTCAGATCCAGCCTGGCTATACTGAAAGCAACGGGGATTTCATTCCTGTCTTCAGGCAAACCCTTGCCCACTAGGAACGTCCAAAGTGATAGGTCTCAGTTCTGACCTCATTTACCTCCGCTAAAATCCAGACTGACATTTTCCTCTAACAAGTTTTAGATTGTTTCTTAAGCAACCAGCTCCCCTGCTTCTGAGATAAGTATGATGATAAAAGTGAATTCAGTCCCATATTTAGCACTGCAGCCAGTGAAAATTAAAGGGTGGAAAAGGAAAGTAAAACAAAGTAATAGTTTATAATATTTTTTGTTTCCTCCAGTGCACAGGTGAATTGGAAATGTTTCTTATATAAATTTCAGTGAGATTAGTTATGAAACGTGTTTTCTGTCACTCTTTTAAATTGCATCTTTCAGTAAATGTTCCATCTCCTACAGCTAATCCTGGATTTATGAAAAAAAAAAAGAAAAAACCCAAACCAAACAAACCACCACCGAAGTCAACCCCGTACAACCCTGCTAACGATGTGAAATGAAGTATTTCAGACTGTATATGCACCCTGGTAGCCCTTCAGTTACTGTGCACATTGTATTTCCCCCCCCAGAACGTAGGCAGGATTTGTTGCTTACTTAATGCTCAGATAGTTTTATGCTGCAAGAGATTTGAGGACAAATAGGTATACTTTTAACAAAAAAGTTCTAACAGGCATTTTGATTTCAGTTGCCTTAAAACGGGGTTTGCTTTTGTCAGAATAAGTTTCCTACACTTTGCTACAGCAAAAAATATTTCCTGAATGTGGGGTTTTGCAGTGAAGAATAAGGAACGCCTGAGAGTGGGCTCTGATTTAAATAACCAGTAGGTTTGTGGGTTTGTACCAGAAGATCACCCTTTTCCACTCCTCCTCTCGGCCCCAGAGCAGCCCATGAGCCAACAGAGAGCTATCTCCCCATCTGCCTGCTCCCTGGGCAGGGGGGTGCGCTCCTTCGGCCAGAAGCTCTGGCTCTGGATCCTCACAAGTTTACCAGGTTTCTGAGTCTCTCTGGCAAGAAATGAACAATATCAACTTCATCTGTGCCAAATCCCAACTTTCTGAACACCTCCAGAGCACGGCCAAACACGCTACAAGCCATCACTCCTTGCTTTGAGGAGAGACTGAGAAACAGCAACTCAACCTACAAAGGCAACACAACAAAGATTCCTGGCTCCAGGCTCCCCTCGCTGCCACAGCCCACTCCTCCAAAGGCCTGAGCAAAGCAGGGCCATCCACCGGAGCCAGCGGGCTGCGAGGAACACTGCTTTTCCTTCAGAAACCTCTTTATTGATCAGGGACTCTCCTGCAACAGGCACTATAAAGTCAGTATGGAAAGGCACAGCTCAGAGGCTCCAAGGGAAGAGAAGGATGGTGAGATGGGACTCAGAGAGGAGAAAAGTGAAAGGAGAAAGGGAAACTATGGGGGAAATAAGTAATTTTCATAGTTAGGCAGAATCTAGCAGACAGGGCCTCTGGAGGTCTCTAGTCCAGTCCCTTGCTCACAGCATGTCCATTAGACCAGGCTGGATCAAGCTACTTAGATCCTTGTCCAGATGAGTTTTGAATACCTCCAAGGATGGAGATTCCAATACCTCTCTCGGCCTCTGTCCCAGTGTTTGAA